TAGATTTACCAAGCACCATGCAAAAATACTGCTTGAAGGCCTTACCACGAAGCCAAATCCATTCTTGAGGTTGATCTCCCTTATCCGTCCATACCCCTTGAAAAACTTTTCCACATCCCTTTCTCGTGCATGAGGGCTCAGACGACCGATGAAGACACGACATCCACTCATTGTCTGGGGGGGGGGGGGTGGGGATTATGCAAAGACAAAAAAAACAGTAGAAAAATTGTTACCTGGTATGTCAATTCTAATCAAGAATTAAACTGAGCCGAACAGGAAAGATCAACATGAAAAGCACCAAAATATATTTAGTTAAAATATATTGACAGGAAAATAAAATCCTCCACATGATAATCATTTATAATAAATGTAAATGCCCAAATAAAGTGTCCTACTTTGTAATGAATTGATTCTAGAGATACACCGAAACAACAGTGACTGGAATCAGCTGATTTTCAGCGTGCTCAGCCTGGACCACAAATCCGGTCAGTCTCATGCATTTCCAATACCAAACCGGTCTGTTTTACATTTGCACCACACGTCATACAGACAACGGCGCAGGCAGCCTCACAGTCGCGTGCTCGCTCACAGCCATGCGCTAACTTGTCGTTAGCGTGGAAGTTCTTTACTGTGAGTGAACACAACACAAAGCTTGCAATTTGTAATACACGTAAAGCCAAAATAAACCATTAGAAAGTGGAGAAACATTGGAGGTAAACGTTAAACTCATTGACCACACACTAGATAATCTTGAAAAGGAATAATCATTAACCTTACTAGCTTTTCAATTTTAAAATGTTTTAGTGAAACTAACTGGCTGCGCTATAATGTCCATACAGTATGAAGGTATGAAAAAGCCTGATCATAATAACATTACCCCACACCTATTTGGAAGAGAATAGTACACTTCAGTTTTATTTAGAGGTTTGTAACCGATGAGCTTGTTTTTATTTTAAGACTGGTAAAACAAGAGAAAAAGGTCAATGTTGTGTTATCTGATGAATTTAAAAACATACTGGAAAATGATACAAGTAACTGACATTTCTTACTTAAATCTGCTCGTCTGGTAACGAAAAATATATCAGAAAAAGTCAGATTTGTCATTGTTCATTGTTATTTTTACCTCTTTCCAATCACAGAGCACTTTGAGACTTGTTTAACAGAAGATTCTGTAATTTAGTACAGTTTGGAAGAAATGGTAAAGTTTAACAATTTGTTTTATTATGAAAATAAAATTTGTATTGAAGAAAAGTTGATTTTGGTTTGTACATGCTGTCAATTATAGTTAGTTAGAAAGAACATGGGAATCGGCGGGTCACACTTACAAAAAAAATTTATAAAATGAATTGGCCAAGAAAATTGCAATCGGTGTCTCAATTAATTTCACATGTACCTAGAACAAACAGACCAGTAGCTAACTAGTTAAAAGCAAAATGTGTGTTTGATAATTTTTCCCAATGTTGATGCTTGAGCACACTGAGCATTATTTTCAGAGAACACGCATCACTGCCTTACTATAAAAATGCATTTTTAATAGTAAGGCATATTAATGGTGGAACATTTTAACTTGTTTCAAAAAATATAAACTGTCATAGTCTTAAGAGCTTCTCACTTCCTAATTAGTTATTTTTTCTGCAACCATATGACCTAAACTCAAGTGACTGTCAAAATCTAAACGCTCACAATGTCATACAGACCTAAATGTAGCACTGATAAACCGCATATCTGTCGAGGCTGTAGTTGGTTCCCTATAATGAAATATTTCCCCTTATTCAGTCATGCCAAGCAATAAAAGAGAAGAAAACTTGAAATCTTTTGCGGAGTCAAATTCATCACCATCACATTTAACTAGGTGCACACTGGAAACTGAATTACAAGAAAAATGCTAAGGAAAAAAAATTAAAATACACTTACATTTTAAGAATATGCATTAAACATAAAAAAGTGGCTGGCAGAGCAATCCTGAGCAAGGCCCTTAACTCCGAAAAATGCTCCGGAGCGCCAAATAACTGTCTGAGCGCTGACCCCCACGCTTTGCTGTCACCTATGCGTGTTAATCCCACATAATAGTACGATGGAATATGCGGAAACGAAACACTTCCTATATAACAGTACTCATTTATAAATAAGACCACATAAAATATCATTGTCAAGGGATGAGCATATGAACAAAAAAAAAAAAAAAACACATTATCGTCTTCTGCTATCATTCATTACTTGAATGGTTTGCTAGAGACTAAATCGAGTTGTTACTTTAACCATGTGGTGGTCCGTTTCGAAACAAAGGATAGAGTTTGGCAGCTATTACATATATAAAGCAAGAGAGCTTCCGAAATCGTCATATTTGAATACAAAGGGCATATCTGTAGCATTAATTAACCAGCTTCACTCCGAAATGTTAAATTCAGCTTCCGTGGAAGTCAACTTTCGTTTTGGCCAGTTAATAAAACACGTTACATATCACCAGCGGAGGACATTGCGGCCCAGTCATCCAAACCGCTAAACCTTACGAACCACCCCCTACAAAGCCGAAACACTCTCCTCACATCAGCGCTGAACCATAAGCCTTAATATAATAGCTATAACAAATATACTCTGTTGTGCAATGTTGATAAAAATATGTTACTACACGGCATTGTGCCGAGAGACTTACTCGACGCCGACATTTATGCAACTAAAAAACCGTCGTGCAACTAAAGAACCATCAATAACGATGATTTAACTAGGAACTGTCCTGTACCTGTTGGTCCGTTTTACTTTGTTGATCCATTCTGAAAACATAAGAAAATTCACAGGGACAAGTAGTAGTATGACATTGAAGCGCTATAAATTTAGCGACAACTAGTTTTGCTAACAGTCTACGTAGGCCTCATGCGAAAATGCACACCGAAGATGTATTCTTTATAGAACAATTTTATATAATTAAATTCTACACTAGTCCAGACAAAAGTAAAACGATGACACTATGGTTTTATTTTAAATCAAAATACCTACTATCGATCGAAACTCTGGCTAAGACAACGAGGCATTTAACAAGCAGTTTGTTTACTACGAAGTGTACAATTTCCTTGACCCAATTTTCAGATGGTTAGTGAAAGACGTAAGGTGCAGTGTAAGACCTCCTAAACTTGTAAACCACATTACACCGAATAACGATAAATAGAAACGCTGTTTATTTTCACCCACCTCTTCCTTTTAAATCGCCCCTCGTTCGCTGCAAAATGGCGTCTTTAGACGATGTGTACAAATGGCGATCAGCTACTCGCAAGACCGCGGAAATGTAGCCGCTTTATGCTGCCAGCGTTCTGGCGGATATAGAATGAATGACAAATGACGTAACCAATAGTGTGAGACGGGAGAATTAACGGCGGAACTGAGGAATTTTTAAAGCGTAGACTGATGAAGAAACGCACGACTATCATCCATATTTCCCCATTTCTGGAAATAGTTCTCAGGGGAAAAATGTACTTAAATACATTTTAAAGAAGTTTTTAAATTTCCCAAAATGCTATATATATATATATATATATATATATATATATATATATATACACATACACACACGTGGGCCTGTGTATTCTCTATGTCAATTGTATAGGATATTTGTGTTGATTGATTCATGAGTAGGTGTATGTATAGTATTATTTACCAGGACTATGACTAAGGTGAATATTCTGAAAATAAAGGGTGTACTACAACTGGATACATTTTTGCGTAGAAATCAGGTTTGCATACGCTATGATTCACATGTCACAATGCTTAACCACTATATCATTGCCCAGGTTTTGTCTGAGGACAGCAATTCATCACTAATCAATGATACTTCTTTCATCATTTATACAAGCACACAGAAATTCTTTAATTTTCATGATCACATATTCCAATGCATAGGTGAGAGCAAAGCTCTTATATGCAGTGTTTATGGACAATTTTCCATAAAACTTTTACTTCTATTAACTAAGGAATTTGAACTTTTGTACGCGTATTCATGGCATTTTTTAAGGAATTTGCAATTACAGAACAATTGCAATTAAGTCCCCAGTGCTCAACACAAAGTTATGCCCTTGGCTGTAGCCCAGTGAGTTATGGATATGTTCATGTTCCATGTCTGGTCATGAGTTTGTATCCTGTCGCCAGCAGAGTAAAGGTGATTATACACGAGTAACTTTTTGAGCAATGTTGCCAGAAACGGGCAACCAGGTGAGACACAAGGCAACTAATCAAGACAACGGACAGTTAGCATCAACCAATGAGAAAACAGCAGATCTATTGACAGGAAGGCTGACACTGGAAAGACGGACACTGAAGCTCCAAGTCGGTCACATGGTGCAGCTAGCATTCTGATTGGAAAATCTCAAAAAGCTGCACACTGAGATCAGAATTGTCCAGATTGAAATTTGTTGCCCATTCTCGATGGCAAAGTGCCCGAGCATCGTTGCTCAGCAACAGTGCCAGGCAGCATTGTTCAAAAAGTTGCCCTGTGTATATCACCCTAACTGACTGACTGGATGCTAGCTGAGCATGTACTCTGACCCCCAAGCCTTTCTCGCTTTTACACCACTGTGTGTCTGCTATGTTAATGCAATCTCAGCTCAATAAATGGCTGTCAGTAAACATTGGTATTCACCATTGTATTCCTTTATGATGGTAAATCTACATATTTTAAGATGGTGCAGTGGGATACAAATGCTGCTCATTTTCAAGATAATGCAAGATAATCTCTGTAATGCAAAATATCTATGGAACAGCTAAAGTTCTTTTCCCCCTCAATTTATAGTATTACGAAGTGATGCATTATCCATATTACTTAAAAATGTCTCATTTCAAATGGGAATAAAAACCTGTCATGTCACCCAAGGTCGCAGGGTGATCATGACAATAGTAGCAGGATGGAAAATTATTTTTTATTACGATGAAAGAAACAAACATAGCCATTCCTCTTCGATGTTAATTCTGTTGATATTCAAATGCAGAGTCAGTAAAATAACTGCCAGTGAGGATTATTGTTTGCAAGTTTTTAATTAGTATATTTTCTAAAATTGTTGGTGGTCTTCTAAACCAGTAAGGTGTATATCAATCTATTTTAAACTGTACAGTACAAAAGGAAAATACATTAATGGCATCACAAATAAAATATAAAAGATTAGACTGAACATTTCCATTGAAACATTAAAAAGAAATAAATACATTAATAAAAATAATTATGATTTAAATTTCAGTTAAGTTAAAATACTGGAGGACTATTTTGGTATAGTTTTATAGTCTTATTTGCTTAGCATCGATTCTTAGGGCTTTTGTAATGTCTGGGATTATGAGAGTAATATGTATCTTCACCTGAGAGTACAACTGTTTCCAAACATGTATTCTGGATGATAAACTTGCTTGTAACAATTTAAGTGTATGGAGATACAAAGGCAATAAGTGTGACACTGACGATTTCCCCATAACCGGATTTAGCAAAGGCTGTGTGACCTTGCTTGGAATTGAATTGCATCATAGATTTCAGGGATGTTCCCATGGTCTGGACAATTTATAAACACCAATTCATCTAACCGCATTTCTTTAGACAGCGGGAAGAAGATGGAGAACCCAAGGGAATCTCACACAAAAACAGGGAGAGCATGCAAACTCCATATGAGCATGTCTTGACAAAAACAAGAAACTGTAAACATATTCTCATAATTTTACCAAACTACACTTGTTTCAATAAACTCAGATAGAGAAAATAAAGACAGAGCTGTGGTTTGCCTATACCATCTGTCGCTGATCTTTAAACCTTTCGAGAAACTTGTGAGAATATGAATAAAAGTTTTGTAAAGTTCATTATCTGCAGGGTCAAAAAATTCTTGTGCATGAAAAATTATGCATTTCCTTTGCAGTCTCTGTGTTACAATTTTCATGCCTCTTTGTTTTGGGTGTTCATACATCCTGCTTGTCCTATGCAGGCATGGCAGGCTCTGGAGCCTCAGTTCAGGTCTAAAAATGGAAGAGCAATCCTATAGAGAGCACGGGCCCCGAGAAACACTGTCACCAGCTGCTTAGACCCGGGTATGACGGCAGCTGTGCGTGGAGCCAGGGGCCACACTGGCTCCTGAGGCTGAGGGAAGATCTTCATCGCTAGACTCTAGCTGCTCCTCTTTATGAAGACCCAGGCTAATATGGCTTTGAAGGGCAGCTGGGGTTAGCCATTCCTTCGGTAGGCAGCTTTGTAGGAATGGGATGCAGGAACTGAAGTAGGCTAGTCGATTCACCCAACGAGGAATTTCTTGTCCACACAGCAACTACCAAATAAAGAAACACGTGGTTATGACACATCAGATTTCCAAAAATATGACGCATCCGGAGAGTTTTGCCATTTCACTTTATTCACTCTGTTCCGTTCAAAATCTCCCAGCTAGACAGAATTTCCTGATTAATTTGCCCCCATGAGCTCAAACTCAGGCGATCAAAAGAGGATATTGCATCAATATCATAAAAGATTAGACTGAACATTTCCATTGAAACATTAAAAAGAAAGAAGTACATTAATCTACTTAATATTAAGTAGATTTGTCAGTTTTTACTAACCTCAGAAAGTGAAGATGAGAAGTGGTTGCAGTTTTTGTGCATTAAATGGTAGGCGTTGCCCTTAAACTCCTTGCCCAGCTCTTCCATAATCTTGTCTATATCATGTTCTGTGAAGTCTGTTGTGCCTAAGGCAATGGCCTCTCTGCAGGTACAGATATACCTCAGACACTTTGTTGCAAAGAACATGTCACATGATTTATTAAATTATTTAATTTTCTATTAGTAAAACTTTAAACATTCTAACTGGACTGTACCCATCAAATAAACTTGCATGTACTAGTTAAACAGAGGTGGAAAGTTCAGGTTCAGAAAGTACAAATCCAGACCAAGATTTTGTTTCAACCAACCAGTTGAATATAAAGAGTCACACAGTTACAGATTGGTCAGCTGGTTGGTTGGAAAAATATCAAGTATATGAACCTTGTAACAAAGTTTTTATTCACAATATACATTAAGAAAAGCTTAATACTGTTAAGATGTTCATTTTGGAAGGTAAGATATACCTAATAGATGACATATGCATCGTTGTGCCTTATGCATTACGTGCACCCTCCTTGCTATAAGACGCTTGTTATTGTTACAGTCTGTGCGGTACATATATCTTTTTACGTTATAAGTAACACTAGGTGGAGCCCATCCAACAATGTGGGAAGTACTTGTTGGTGAGGCGTAATTCCAGCAGAAAGTGGATAAATGGTACTGCTGGAGACATTAAAGAGGACAAGTGGGAAGAGGAAATCGAGAGAGAGAGAGAGAGAGAGGGAGAGAGAGAGGGTGAGAGAGAGTTTACAGTTTGGTGGGCGTGTTTGTTGGTAGGTATCATAAGGGAGTTGGGGCAGATAATTATTTTTCTTATTTGTAGGTTAGTAGTTATTGATGGAGTTAGTATTTTGGTTTTGTTTATTGTTTTGGCCTGGCAAGATGGAGAGAAGGCATGTTCGTTCTCTCCCGTGTCTGTGTCTAGCTGTAAATACTTCTGTAAATAAGGCGTGATTGTAAACTGAGAAGAAACTGAACCACGTTTGTGGTTTCTGCCTGAGCCAGATTATGTAAGCTGGCTTGTAACAACAATGAATACATATTCCCAATGTTTAATTTAGTTTTCCTGATTTAAAGTGTTTGGGTTAGCAACTGAAATCCTTTAGATTCGAACGACACATTAGTTTTAGCCTTAACATTTATTTTACTGAATATATTATACTGCAATCACATTCCTTGTTAAAGAAGTAAATGAGTTTTCTAAAACCTGTAGGACTGTGGATTTTATGGGGCTGGATTTGCAGATCCAAGGATTAGAATGATATACTCACTTGAACTTGAAGGTTTCTCCAAGCTCAGCAGTATTTCCAGGAGTAATCTCAAAAATCCCACTGAAGGGGTATGGGTGGCCTCCGTATGCAAACTCTAAGGAGGAAGAAGAGGGATTGAAGGATGGAAGAGCAAGAGTTTATCATCATCATCATCCCATTTCTGGTGAAAGATGTGCTGAAAAAGTGGTGGAGAACAGATATAGTATACTACAGATATAGTATACTACAGGTATAGTATACTACAGTAAATACTAGTTTTAATCATGTGGGACACCGGATGCAGGAATTTCCAAATTAAAAGTACACACATTTCAAATACCTAATACACAAAAGCTGCTATAAATTATTAAAAGCTGTCAATCTAAATAAAAGCACTCAGGCAACGATGGGTTAAATAGCATCAGCCGTGGCTGCATTTATTGGGAAATAACCCAGGAGAACAGGGTAACATGTCAGCTGCAGGTCTGTGGGTGTCTATAAGAAAATAAAAGGTAGGACAAACCCCCACAACAGAAAGAAAAATAAATAAATCAAGGAATGGAGAAAGATTGCTCCAGTTGGAGCAGGTAGACTACAGCCAGGGATACAGGTAGGAAGTTCCAGCTCATGCAGGCTATTTTAAGGGGGGAAGTGATGCTGGGGGTGGCAGCAGCTCGTGTGATTGCCCGCCTCCGGCCGCGGCTCATTGTGGGAGGGGCTCTGCCGCAGCCTGCTGGCTGGCTGTCCGAAACACCGGTTCTGAAATTTGCCAGGTGGTTGCTGTCCGAGGTTGTGCACCAAGTACACGGCCACCTGTCCGCTGGACGGAGCAGCATGCGTGCGAGTCCCAGAGGTGCCGTCGTGACAACAGTTAGATGATCTTTGAATGTGTGTGTGTGTAAAGAAAACATTGTATAACGTAAAAAAAAAGAACACGCAGTAAAAAAAGGTACATTTGGCCAGCCTCAAGCTAGAATTACAAGCTTTGCTGCCATCTCTTATGCACAAACTATTGCTACAGAGCTGGAGGTCACAAACTATGGGCAATCATTCATTAAATTTAAACATTTAAAAAATATCTTGCTAATTTGTCCAAAAATATTTTGAAACGGTAAGCAAGCAGTAACATGCTTTACTGATGACACTTAGGAGAGCATTTCTCAGTCCTCTTTCCCTTTGTTACCCCTAATTCTGATTCTCTTTTTCGCTAATTTCACATTAAAAGCAAATATTTAGACACATTTGTTTCCTGCTCCTCCAGCTCTACTTTTCTTGCATTATTTTTTTCTGCCTAGCAATTTTTTTGCAGCATACCCTATCAGAAAAACATACAAATTATGTAAATGTCCAGTATACACAATATTGTGCAAAAGTCAAAGAAAATGAATGAAGCTATTTATCTGGGTAGGAAGTATATATTTGCTCAGAAAAACACAATTTGACATTACAATACATGCAAATGAACAGTAACTCAGTAAAATAAGAATTTCCTCTGTTACATCTTGTTGGATGACTTGAAGAATACAGCTTTGGGGTAATTACTGGTAAAGGCAGGATTCATGTTGTCTGTTAGACATTTCAACCCTATTTGTGTCTAAATGAATAGGATTTTCCTTCATTTTGCAGCTTATACGTTTCCTAGATGAAGGTGAGGACGGCCTACCGCATGAATCCTCTCTAAAGCCTTAATGCTGAGAATGACAGTGAATTACCTATCCATCATGGATGCTGCCATTTGGTACAGGCTCGCAAAAAGCTTGGAGCCCATCCCACAAAAGAGAGCACAAGAATAAAGAGAATTCCCAGATGCCAGTCCATCAAAGGGTTAGATACGTAGACATGGTCACAAGCTTCAGGCAACCTAGAGATGCTGATTAGCCTAACAACTCAATATGTGCAGAAGGAATTCCATGTTAACAGAGCAGAGGTAGGATCTGAAGACCTCACCCTGAAGGAATGAGGTAACACATTTACAGAGCCAACGTGCCACCCTGTACAGTTCTATGCATGGGAATATTTATTTATGTCAAGGTGCATGTAATTCAAAGTATCTAATTAAAGTTAACACCAAAAGTCAAATAGATATTTTACTGTTACAGTAAAAACAACAGAGTGTAAAAAACATGGAAAATCTGCATTTTTATTTCAAAACCCAAAAGGCCCGGATACAATTAGAATAGAATTAATGTGGCGTATAATTAAAAATGATGAGATTGGTTTAGAGACAATACCGTCAGCTTTGTGCATTCAGTTAAGGTAGGGCAAAGTCGAAATAAAGGCCAAATATAATCATTACCATTTACAAATTTACAAAGCTCTAAATCTCCAAAGATTTTGGTATTCGTGCCTTGCAGTTCACAAGGTTATTTAAATCTGCAAACAAACTACTGCCAATGTCCCAGGAGCTGGGTGTAAAAAAAAAAAGGACGATTTCTCTCAAAATATTACCAAAAAACACCACATACACGTCTCCAAGTGTTTCTGCATTCTCGCTTGCATTTTACAGTCTTGCCATGCAGGGTGAAGCCAAGCTTTGTGTCCCTGTGCTTCTTCAGGCAGGCTAAACTAAACAAAAGGCCCCTGTGACTGAGCAGGATAAGCGATTCACAGATGGATGTTTCTACAGTTCGTGTTATTGTTCGTTGTTCGTGTCTGCAAACAAACTACTGCCAACGTCCCAGGAGGTTGGTTCAAAAGGAAGAAAAAAAGTAACTCAAAAAATTCTCAAAGGATTTTCAGAATTGCCAAAAAAATCATCCCATGCACATAAGAAAGTCTGACTGAAACTTACCAAGAGCATTGGGGGGGGGGGGGGGGATGTTTTGTGGATTAAGACAAATTAGGGCTTTCTTGCAATGCAAATCAAGTGGCAACATTACAAAAGAAAACCCTGCATATATTCAAAGACGGAGAGAGTTTTGTGAGGGATTACTTGCAGCCTCCAATACTGAAGGTACCTAATGTGGACACTGCACCATGAAGGGACTTTCTGAACATACTGTCATGTTAATGGCAGCTCTGGGCCGGATTGAAAGGTGCCCAGCAGCACACAGCAGCTTCTATCCATGACGTGGTTGTGGGGATCATGAACCTCACGCTAATTTCAGATGCCCCCTTACTGACTATGTGCTAGACCCTGCACTGCGGAATCTAGTTTTTCCAGCAGGATAATTATTCCAAAGATAAATTTAAAACAACTACAGAAGAAACACTGCTCTCTTCTGGAGTTCCCATGGATGAGTTCCTATCTGAGAATTACAGATGATTATTTCAAATAAAAAGTTACAGGAACTGGCACTTAACAAATGGGGCAAATCAGCAGAAAGATGTAAATTTATATTCCAGTTTGTTACATTTTTGTAATCTCTGGGAAATGGATTCTTTGCCTCTTCAGTTTAATTACACTCAGATATTAACAGCTGATGGAAACACAGAAACGCTAAAATAAATGACAGCTTTTTAAATGACAAATTACTTCAAAATATAAAAGTATGTTGACAGAAACTTAAATGCACTAATCTAATGAAATATTTTACAGGTGCTTAACAAGCAAAAGGATTTTGTTGAACTGAGATCTTGATGAAATGTTAATGCTAAGACATAAGAAATATGGTCAAAACTAAACGTACAGTAACAAATCATCACGTTATTGAAGAAATTACTGTGTTACTATGAAAGAACCTCAAAATACAGAGACAACCAAAAATGTGTAAGGTTGCAGAAAACTTTAGTAACTTTAAAATCAACAGCAACAAAGAAACGAAGGCAGTGTGGATTATATTTCAGAATGATTTACCAAGACCATTCCAACACTATTATTTGGATTGCCTGTAGGTATAGTGGGGGTGGTTTGATGGCTGTGTGTGTAAATGCCCCTAGTGTTAACATGGACGATCTCCTGCTACTCTGGATTCTTCCCACAATCCATTTGTTTGGCCTACAGTAAGATAGCATCCAGGGATTACCCTGCTTCATGCCCTGTGCCTCTTGGGGAAGGTTCAGGCTCATATTACCATGCACCGGATAAGCAGTTAGGAAAAATAAGATGGTGAATGACTGTACAGATACTCCTCAACTTACAATGGAGGTAAGTTCCAATTAACTCATCGCAAGTTGAACGGATATGATACAATGACACACTTGGGCATTTAGCGGATATAATGGGTTTGGGAAAATTTGGTTAAACACAGGAAAAAAAAGGCACCTTTCATTGTTAAACACTGGAATGTTTTTACGCTTGCTGTGGCTACAGAGACTGTCTGGATGCTGACAGCGCTAGGCATCTTACAGCATATTGCTACCCTGGGGAACAGATCAAAATGCAAAGTTTGAGGACTAAGTCGACCCATCATAAAGTGAGGAGCATCTGTATTTAGTGGGGAAGGCTAGTGTGTCTCAAATCATCACACTGCAAGAAAAATAAAGCTACTGTAAGGGACATAAACAAAATATACCCCATAAAAAAACCTTTGATTCTACCTCTACCGTAGACCTCGATGCCTGAATGGAAGACTCCTATACCCAGAGTAGAAGTATACTCATTGATCCAATACTGTAGAGAAAGAAGAGAAAGAATTACAAGTGCTTACAGGTATTCGCCATTCAAGGTAGTGCATATAAGATAAAAGTTGATCATCCATAATGTCGTCATATGGGATCACCCCATGAAAATATCAATCTGGCAATTATTTTTCATTTAGCATTAGATCAAACATTTCCAAATTCTTGAAAAGAACATGGTATCTCAACTCCAATAATAGTTCTTCTATATAAGCTATAACTATACACACACACACACACACACACACACACACACAAAGCCACAGAAAAAAAATAGGAAACCACTCTTTATTTTTCAAAAACTCTGCATTTTTACATCCTGGTTTAATCATTCTTACTATATTAATGAGAGCTAATGCATTAAATGTTTTTTTTTTTTAAATCTGTTACTTCGCTTTAAGTGCTTGGTAGGAAATGGAAATGAACCAGATTCCATGCCGTGAATGTCAATGTTCAGAACTATTCACTGTCCCCGTGACCCTGAAGTTGGCCGGAATTTTCGCTGCCATTTTTTTACAACGGGCGTCTAAGGTGTGGCCACTTTCTTTTCTCTACCGCTCTGGCCAGGATGACTTTCACAGCAAACATGCCATAGGCCAGCCCGCCATCAGCAAGCAAACAAAATGCAGTTTGTTCATTGATATATACGTATATACATACTATATACACACACACACACACACACACACAACAGATCAAAAAAGTATAGGTTAACAAAAATCTGTTACAAAGGAAACATTTTTGGATTTACCATCAGACATTATTAACAATAGACATTTAGTTAACGGTACGAATGTAATTCTTAGGGTAAGAATGTAATTATTTGCCAGATAAATCTATCCCTTTGGTAATTACACCTGTTTCTAAGGCAAATACTGCAACTAGACATGCAAAATGTACAGGGAGTAAGTTCTGAAGGGAACTAATAATGTGTGTTTTCTATTATGAACAGAATTTCAATTCATAATGCTTCAGTTTTTTAAGTATAAAATCAGGAACTGAATTATATTGCTTAAACTTACAAAAGAAAAACAAGATCCATGGATTAACAATGGCATGAAAATTGGAAAAAAAAACAGAACTAGAAAAAAAGAATCTGATATTCATCCTCGATTAACCAAATACTATATTTCAACAAAATATTAGGTTAAGTAACTTAACACTGCTCTAAATGACCTCAAATACAAAAGTATTCAACCCCCCTTAATTATCAGATTTGCCTGAAGTACAATTCATACACACACATATTCTTCCTGTCAGTGTTTTTTTTTATTGCAATTTCACAGTAAATTTTCAGTTAAAGGTTTTAAAGAAAATTGTGGCTTACAGAAGTATTTAGCATTTGCACTTGTGTATTGGGGGCCCCCTGTTGGCCACCAACAGTCACTACACTATGTGGGTGAGGGGCCCCAAACTGACTTGTTGAGTACAGCCCTAAAAACAACAAACCCGCTTCTGTTGGTAGAGCTACCTTTTGCTGCAATAAAAGCTGTACGTTTTTTGCGTATCTACCATGTTTTTATACAGTTCAGGAATGATTTTTCACTCCCCATTATTCATGGCAGACAAGTTCCAGGTCATTCAGGTTTGTTGGATGTCACTTGTTGACTCCAATTTTTCAAAGAATTCCACAGACTGTCTATAGGATTAAAATCTGTACTTTGGCCACTGTAGAACATTCACCTTTTTGTTTTTAACCAAAAGTTTTACTTTTTTGCTGACCAAAGCAGGTTTTTTTTAAAAATAATTCCCTGTATGTTGCTTCATCCATTCCCCCTTCACTTCTGACACGGTAGCCAGTTGCTGAATATAAAAAGCGCCCCCACAGCTTCCCACCACTAAACCTCACTGTAGGGATGGTGTTAATTGAGGCATAGGATGTGTTACGTTTGCTCTAAATATAGCGCTTCAGATTTTGGCCAAAAATCTCTGTCTTGTTCTCATCAAACCGGAAAACCACGTCCCACTTCAGACATGCTTGCAGTTGAGTGTAAAGTGTCACAGTCACAGAGGACTCAACTGGTTGGTTGAAACAAAATCTGGATTTTTACTTCCTGAACTTGAACTATCCACCTCTGTATACATGGAATTTCTTTCCCTGTACTGTGCTTGCTTGTATCCACAGACCCCATGTTTACTGTCACCCTGATCTGAATAAACATTTGTAATTTGTTTTAAGTTTTGAAATCAGAATTTTTTTTTTGCTTTGTAATGCTAGGACTAAAAATAAAGCAATTACAAGATTGAGAAACATAATTTATTTCTTTTGGCAAGGAATTTTTATTTTCTCTTTCATTTGTTTCACTTAACAGGCCTTCTGATTGAGAAGCTTCAGTCCCTTTCAGTCCCAGATGTGCTTTGAATGAAAATACCAAATTCTCATTTAAGTTTTCAATTACTGGTGATTTTTTTTAACCACATTTGATACACTAATAGCTAAGGATATGAAGTTAGTTTAATCATACAACTGCAAATGTAACAGACTGTAACATGTCGCCCTGTCAATAATCTGTTTCTTCTTTTAAGACGAGTTAAAAATATTATATTTTAAAAGCTTGTGACCCTGACCAGAATAGACAGCTAAAAGATGGAAGGATGGATGGATATTTTAAAACTAATGCAATATTAAAATAATACTCATCTTTATAATATTGTGGTGGGTATATTGTCATTCTGCAGAATGGTCCCTCCTTACAAGTAATACCTGAAAAAGATGACATTGTCCCGGAAGTACATTTGTACACATTCAAAAGAAGAGCCAAGTATGGCTCAGGACCACTGAGTTCAGATTCCTGTCACATTCCTCATGGATTATGTTGTTATAGCTCATCTAGGGGTAAAGGTCATAACAGCAAGCAATGAAGGTAAACAGCAGGAAAGGGGCTGAACTGAGAGCTTAGAAAAACAGGGAAGAATGCATGGAAGGGAGACACAAGAGCCTCACTGTATTGCTTATATATACAGTTGAGCAAAAACAGCAGATGCAGAACAATAATGTCATACTGACCACAGCAAACAGGTCAAAACCCAAAAACATCAACAAACTTGGCGACCTGGATGAGAGAAGAATTCAGAGCCAACAACTAATCACGTGACAAAACTCGGAAGAACATAATAGCACCATGAAAATTTCAGCAAGAAAGCACCAAAGGCTGCTTAAATCCTTTTCCTGCAGCACTATTACAGACTTTGGATAACCAGCAGTAAGCTTAGCGGTGGATGACAGGAGTGAATCAAAGGTACATAACCAAGAATGAGGATTACGGACTGGGTCACCTGAAAATGTGACAAAGAAGCAAAGGAGCATACTAGCATGTCCATGCAGGACATTGCAACGTGCAAGAAGCAACCAACGAGTTCCATACAAGAAGCAACCAACGAGTTCCATACAAGAACCATAAGAATTATACCACAGTCCAGACTGAAACTTCTTGATCTTGTTATATTGTATATTACAAACACGCTTTCATTACAACCTACTCAAAAACCCAATAAAATGCTTTAAATGATACTGTGATAATAAGAAGAGTTACAGGCTTTTCTCATGATAATACTTTTCCCAAATGGCCAATCCGTAGTATTCAGTTCCATTTCCCCCAGAGAATTTCACAGTTTAACATCAAAATCCTATTTGCCCTTGAAGGGGTGATTCATAGTGTAGTTAAAAGGGAAGTTCTATTCTATTTAAGCTACATCACATTTATCATTTTTTTTAAATGGAAGAACTGTTAAGCCATTTCCCTCAGGACTGGCACAAAATCTGGGCTTTGTCATGGAAATTGCAACAAGAACATTATGAAGTTTCCAAACACGTGAAGTTGGGGTGCCTGAGTCACATGAAAACCAAAATCACACCTGATAAGATTCTAATAACGATACACACTAATGGGCAGTGTGTGGCTCAGCGGGCTAAGCCTCTGTGCCTCTATGCCTCGGTGCCTCTGTGCCTGTCATCAGAAAGTCATCATTCCAACGTGACATACAACTGGGGCATATTACAAGCAAACAGCTGTCAAAAAGCCAACTATGCATAAGTGTAGCTACGCTGAGATTCCAGTGAATAACCAGCAGCAAGTGCCAGATAGCAGTGAAGCAACACAATATGCTACAAACATAGCAGTAACCTTATAAGACAGCTATACATATCTATCAGCTATATAAAGTTAGCCTTACCTCCACACACATGGTGTGGGCTCTAGAACCAAACTTCTTGATTGTGGTTGGAATCTCTTCTACTCTGAACTTCTCCATGAGAAAAGACCTCAGGTAATTATGTAGACTTCTCTATAAGCCACGTATTGTCCATAACAAACAGAAAAATCAACGTTTTAGTTGGTCATTTGACTCTCTATCAACTGATGCCCAATTAATAGCAATTTCGACTTGGCACGTGTGGAGGAGACCAGATGAGCCAGGACAACCCAGATGAGCAGTCAGGGTTTGCTGGGAACGTTTGGCTGAAGATTCTGTGTGAGATGGATTCAACTGACATCTTTGGTGAGTCTTATCTAATGTGCCTAGTGAGGTAGGGGACAGGGAGTCTGAATGGACTGTAATTTACAGCGCAATACTTGCAACCACAGGACCTAGTGCTGGAAATCACTCATAATGAAAGCTATTAAACTGAAGAGGATGAACTTTCTGCTTGCATCAGGATCTTCTGACATCATTGAAAGGTGAGGAAAAGCCAGAACAGCTGTAGCGAAGACTGCATGGCAGGAGGTTGTAGAGGCCATATAGGAGGAGGATAGGGTACATATGTTACTCTCACTAGAAGGCGAAGCTGGAAACTTCAGGGTCTATCTCTGCAGCTGAAGTTGCCATAGGCCTAGTGGTTAGTGACATCTATAGTGGAAAGGCTGCAAGGGTAGATGAAATCTATCCAGAAATGTTGAATGTATTGGATGTTGTTAGGGTAACACAGTCGATGTGCCTCTTCAATGTTGCACTGAAGCCAGATAAAGCACCTCTTGATTGGCAAACAAGGGTGGTCATCAGTGTTTTTAAGAAGCAGGAACAAAGTATGTATTCTGACTATAGGAGGATCACACCTCTCCATGCCACCTTATGCAATGGAAAATTTTCTAAGAAAAGGGTGGATAATTGTTTTCAGGTGAGGGGTCCATAACTCTGTCATTAGTGATGAAGCTTAAGTATCATGGGATCTTGTTCATGAGTAAAACCAAGAGAGAATATGAGATTCACAGGTGAATCAGTCTGATGGCTACAATTTTGCAAGCACTGAGCTGGTCCATGGTGAGGAAGTGGGAGCTGAGTTAGCAGATATAGCTAACTTACAGGATTAAAGAGTTGCCCAGTCACTGGAGAGATTTTGGCTAAAGGCCTTGCTCAAGGGCCCAATGGTGAAACAACTATACCATCCAAGGGATTTGGACCTGCAGCCTTTTGATCTGAGGCACAGAGTCCTAACCTACAGAACCACCCACCACCCCAATGTCACCTTCTGTCAAAAAAATAAAATGCAAGACTATAAAATGTGCCAAAATTAGGTTTCTCTGCTGGGTTGACAGTCTCACCCTCTGTGACAGTATAAGGAGTTCAGACATCTGGCAGGACCTTGAAAGAAACTGCTCGTCTTTCTTTGTGGGAGATTCAGCTAAAGGTGCCACAATCGACTCCTGGGGAAGCTGTTCTGGGCAGATCCCACTGGGTGGAAGTCCCAGGAGACCCAAGGCACTAGAGGGTTTAAAAGTCCCAGTCAACTTGGGAATAGAGGTCTAGTCTCCTGGTTACCCTTACAATGAGGAGAAGCGTGAAGAAGATGAAGATGAAGTTGATGACGATGAAAACAACTACCATAGCGAGTCAATACCAGTCTCAAAACCATTTGAACTTATAGTTCTATTACATGTAGTATACAGAATACAATTACATACCTTAGAAAAAAGACTTTATCCCACCACCCCTGAGATTGTTCACAGTATAAAACAAGAGACGACAATTTTTACAGCCATAACCAACCAACTAAAGAATATGGAGCTACTTTGCATATATCTAATCTAACAAGCCAAACAATAAAATGCTTATTAACTGAGGTGTCATTCTAAATGGTAAACTTCTATATAGGACTAATCTACAGGCTTTTTCAAAGTCCTTTAGACATTCAGCCCTAAGGCAAAAGACTGGTTGACAAATGTAGCTAGCTAGAAGAAAAAGGCATTAGAAGAATGATTCCAAGGTTACTTGCATTATCAATTATTTCGATGCATACCATACAATATTACTTTCCCCTGTGTACTATGCAACATTGTAGAAGTGCATCAATCATGCAGGCGTCCAACATTTCCAGATTAATTTCACCTATCCTCTTCTGAGGACCTCTAACCACATCAGCCACGGTGATACACCAGAAGTTTCTTGCACTGCCCCCTGGTGAGTGGGCACGTCTATTTGGTTTTCTGGATGGTTGAATGTTACTCTTGAAAACACTGAATTGTGACACATTTCTTACATGTACTTCAGTTCTTTTATACACACACCCTAACGATTATTTTAACATGTTGCAATGCCACTGCTGGGTGAAATTGGATATTCGGTAACACACAAGAGATTATGAGGTTAACAATAGCAGAACAAGCACAATGAACACTAAAGTGTGCCAATTCATTGGCATATGGAGGAACTCATGTATGTATTGCAAAATGCTTTTCTTTTTTTAAAAAAAAAAATTGTCATTTTTGTTTTAGTGTAAATTTGTAATAGAACAAAACAGAAAGTTATGAATTTAATTGCTGCTACTTTTTTACACAGATTTTTTTTTAATTGTGCTGATTATTTGAATGCCAGACAGAACAGCTTTCACTGTATCTGCATTTTACATTGTCTGAATTCTTTACAGTGCTGAATGTGGGTATTTCATGAATACTTCAGTCTAAAAATTGTTTTAAAACTTTTAGTGATTAAGTCCCCTCCTAAACATGGAGTTAATGTGCAACCTACAGTAATATACACTAGTGGCCAAAATTGTGGAAACACAAATTTTTAGAGATTGTAGAACTTTATTCAACTGTTGCTCCAGTTACTTATTTAATCATCCAAATTATATTTGTAGCACTCTTTGATCGTTCATAAACATTACCACCAATATTCATGTAGTAACTTTTTTTTTTATAGCATGACGCCAAAAATGCTAGTTTTTTCCCCAAAATTTTGGCCAGTACTGTAGCATATATTTTATGCAATAATACATCATAAAATACCTTTCTCACAAACATACACATTTAACCATTCATCCATCATCTATCTACTTTTCCTGGGCGGGGTCACAAGTGGGGAGGAGTAAACTATATATTTTACCAACAGCAATATTAAAATTGTATCTTGTACTTTTACATTCTTCTAGAGCAGGGCTCTTCAAATCTGGACCTCGATTCCAAATCCAGGCCGTGTTTTCAGTTCTCCCAGGTAGTTAGTTTAATAATTACTGATTCTGATTGGTCAGAGGCTTCACACCTGGCTCACAGGTAAAGGAAGGCTGGAAAACCAGCAGTGCTCGGACCTCGAGTACCGTGATTTGAATAATAGGATACTAGAGCATAATAATCCTTGCTGCTGGACACTGGATTGGTTTAATAAGCAGCTCATATTAAGACTCTGATAACTTTCAGTTGGAAGTTACAGGGCAACCACAACTAAGCATCCTTACTATGATATTATCATACTGCATGTAAAACAAACTGCTGCATCTCCGCTGTCTTCAACAAGTATCTGTATCTTAAACATCAGTTGCTGATGGAAAAAAAACTGTTCATCTTGATCTGCATTTGATTAATATCTATTAAGGTAACAATTTTAAAGGAACAAGAATACTCTGTCAAATTTTGCATTCTTTAGTTGTTTCATGTTTCAAGTAGTGACTATAATGATTAGTAGTGACTAATAAGTAGTTTTCAAATGAATAAAACATTCTTGGATGGCGAAGGATATATTCAAAGTTTAGTGAAAAATAAATGTATTTGGATTGCATCACCCTATGTAGAATATACAATATTTATCCTTTATCAGAAATTAACCGAAATTATGGCATTGAGAGTAAATTATTGGATCTGGAGGAGGTCAGCATGCTTAGACAAAACAACATTTGAAAGCTTATGTTCCCCTTAAGTTTATGTTGAAATTTTTGGAATTATATCAATATTGTTGTATGATAGGTTTAAATTATATTCCCTAATAGCAAAAAAAAAATGTTTTCTTTGGTATGGCACACAATAATTTTAAGTCATTTTAATTTTAAAACGAAATTAAAAATAGGTAAAAACACAAATTTAAAAGTCAAACTGAACAACTGTGAATTACTATTAAAAATAGATGAATGCTCACAATAAAATCCCAGTCGAATGCAACGTGTTATCGATGTGAATGATAAACAAACAAACAGCATTGCTATAGATTTCTTACCATGTCATAAACGTTGAGAATAACAGGTTGATTTGCCATGTTTAATCCTGAGTCGGAGGTAGCGAAATGTCTATCCACTGCCTGCGATGTTATTGCTCTTAACAGCAGTTCAAAAACGCGGTCCAGGCTCGACACAAAGCAAGTCCGTGATAAACACTACAAAACTAATTTAAGGTCAGATTTTCACTTTGCCATTTTCATGAAGCGCAGAGAGGCTGCCGTGGGAGTTCATTTCCTGCAATTAATTGGGAAGCAGTGAAACATTCTAACGTGTTTTTATGATCTGCAATCGATCCCAATTAAGCATGTAAACAAGCTCGCCTTCTCATTTACGCATCAGACTTAGTAAGATTATCAAAATATTAATAAAACCTTGCTGTGTTCCAACAGGCAGCTCTCCATAAACCACCCTTCATATGCGTAGATTTTTCTGTGTAATTGTTTTTCTAGCAGACAACACATACGTCGGCCCACTTTTGCTGTATACGGCGAACATAACAAAACCTTTATATAAAAAACACGTATTCTGAATTACTGCATAACTAAAATGCATTTAATATTGCTATACTGTTTTTTTTTTTAATTCACCGGCTGCCGCTGTGCTGCATCTTCGCTATAGCAGCATCGCTATGTTCGGAGTAACACGTTCGGTCACATAGCTAATCGGCACCGCTGGTGATTCGGCACCGCTCGCCCGAATGTAAGCGACTAGCTATATTGAACAGGCTTCTGTAGGAAATATTTTAAAAATCACTTGCAAAAATACTCCAGCATGATGGAAGGCATCGGCATGCTACTAGCTAGATACCTTCGATGAAGGTTGGTAGCATCCCCAGTTCAAAGTTCACCAGTTTCCTGGTGACTGGGGAAATGGCCTTTGAGGGTAATCGTTACTTGTGCGGTGGAATCAGCTGTTGTTGACAGCAGAGAAGGTGGCCGCTATCTTTATATTGAAATTATTATTAATAATAATAATGATGATGATTTTTCGAACCGCTAATTCTGGTCCGTATCGCAGGAAATGATAATAAAATAATAATAATAATAATGGTGATAATGGAAAGGAAGAATGTAAAGAATATGTATATTAATAATATAAGCTTTTTCGCTAATGGTTTCTGTACGTAGTGTTTTCAAGAAACGAAAGAGAAAACACCAGCTGTTTTTACAGTTTGGTATTCATTTCAAATGTTTGTATTCCCCCCACACACACTTAATTATGCATCTTTTGCTGTTGCTCATCAGCTTGCTTCTAATCCATTAAATCAATGAGCCATCCAATGTTTACATCCCCTTTCTGCTACTTTGGCAAGCACTGCCAAAAGTGGGACTGCCAGGTCTCCAAACCTTCTGAAACCGCATCATCAGCACGTGTCAATGGCCGGATCATATCTCCGAAACACATCTGTTTGACAGTACACTTTATGTTCTGGTTATCAAACTCATGTTTCAGAAGAGTTACTGTATTACAGTCTTACACAGTGTCTGCATGCTTTTCTACCCCAGTGAGTTACGGCTTGAAACTTGTGCAGTAATTGATTAAGAATGTACAGGAGAGGTGTAATCTTCCAAATTCCAGTGTTTTGAAATTTTCTATCATTTATATGAAACCATGGAGAATAAGGATAGTTCTACAAAATCTTGCATTTGTTCCAGAAGTAGTACCCTCATACACCATGTAAATAAATTCTTGTACAGCCCCTGCATGTTTAGATATGCCAGTTTGATAAATGGTGCAGACTTCTGGTGACTTACCACTGAGATCAGAAGCTGTTCCTTCAAATCACCCCTCCAACAATCTTCATTTTTTTGCCAAGAGTTGAGATCAGCCAACAAGATTACCATGTGAGGTGTTCATAGAATGTGTAGCATCGAAGTACACACAGCATCCAGGAAATGCAGCTGAATTCAAGCCTTGATCAAATACGTCACTTGTTGTAATAGACTAATCCTGTCACTGGGCTCAAATAAATGAAGACTGATCACACTCAGTTGAGAAAATCAGTGCAGGAGCCACAAACATAGATTTAAGCAACAACACAGACAGCACAGGTAATTCCTTATTCTTGTAGTACCGCCACCATCTTCATATCTCTCGAACAGTGGTGTTCAACCCCCCCCCAAAGCTAATACATTTGTCCTTAACCCCCACCACCCACACACCAAATAAACTTTATCTTGGACCTCATTGGGAAGGATGTGCTTGTTTTCCTGCACACGGCTTATCAAAGTACCTGGAAATTTTGGACATTGAAAGTCTCTCTGCTGTTAATATTTCCAAAGGTTGCAATTTTGAAATAGGTCCGCCCCCACCTCCAGAGATGTTTTCCCCTCACGTGCAGACCCCTGCAACTCCTTCACACACCACCAGGGGGAGGGGGGGCACCTCACAGTTTGGATACCTCCAATTAGAGTCTAAGTGAAGTAGCCTTGCATTACCAAGTTATGTGTTTTGAAGTTTCAGAATCTTACTTTCTGGTGGTGAATTTTCCACCTCTGGGACTGATGCATTAGATTCCCACTGGCTGCACCCTTAATAAATTGACTTCCTTCAAAAATAAACTGCAGCACTTGCTAGTTTCGTCTGAAAACCAATAATCATTTCAACTATCACATAAAAATTATATTTACATTTTCTAGCAAGCTCATTTTAGTTATCAATACAATACTACAGATGCAGAATTATAGTTGTCCGATTAAAGTGAAATAAATACCAACAAGGAACAAAGCAATGCTGTAAAAAAAAAGTGATTTATTAAATTATACAAGCTTTCAACGAATACAATATCCTAACCCTGCTCTTTTACCTTTAAAGAGCACATTTATAAAACAAATGACAGTCTTATTTACTGGATCTATATAGCTGATAGGTCCAATAGATTTCCAAAAAATATCAAGATAGGAGATACCGTTCCATTTTTCCCTCCAACACCAGCACTTTAATTTATGAATAAGTTACATGAGTGCAGGAAAGATTTTTAAAGATCTGCTCTATAACATGGTATAAAATAAATGCAAATCCGGTTTCATTTACTGCCATTTCTAGTTCTGATCTATGAGGATTTATGTTTACTAGTAATTTGAAGGATGAGCATTTTCATTTACTAGTAATTTTTCCATGGCAAAATTCACCAACTTTCATTATATTCAGTGCAAGAATGCTTTAATGTCTACTCAGTTTAATTGGCATCACTTCTTTATAAACATCACTTTATAATCATAGCAACCACAGAATTTTCATCTGTGACAAATGAGTAAATTCATTCATACAAGACTCAAGTAATAAGGTCTTACATAACTAAGACCTGATTACTTAATATACTGCAAACTCAGCTAGTGTAACTGTCAACCCTTGCATATTATAAAAATGATAAGTTCAATGATCAGCTCCAAATTTAAAGTACAACGCAGCTCAGTACTTATGAACATTTAAACAATTCCTTTCTACAATATTACAATTTCACTGATCTCCTGCATTACCATTTGACTGAATTTAGACGACATCAGTGCAAGTGAAAACACCTTTGAATAAATCCAAAAGTGAATCAAGCATAAGTCAAATTCAAAACAGGTTATCAACAGCATTAAATTACATAATTTAAGTGAATCAAACCTTTATGCCAATTCAATTATATTAATGTCTAGGATGACGTTTTATAATTATTACAATGCAACACAAACTGTGAAACCTGCAAAATACACCAAAACTTTAGAATTGTTACACTTAATCACGAAAATCAATCAGGAGGTGGCAACAAGTACCATTCAAAATGAAACATTCTGAACAAATCATCTCAATATGAAATTGGTCTATTTTAAAATTACATTTGCACTGCAGTTGTCTCAACTCATCAGGTAACATCGGCAAGTGTTATTTTTTCCCATAATGAATTACAAAGTATACTGTTTATTAGACCAACACGTCAACAACATTGAAAGGTTATTCAGACAAAAATGGAAACAAAAACTTTTTGGTTAATGTGAAACACGGGGGAGGGGAGGGGGGAAATAGTGTGCTTACAGTATGTAGCAGGTTTGTGGCGTACGTGGTATACCGATCACAACCTACTGAATTACTGCTTCTAACAAAATGATCTTTGTCAGTCCAGTACCTTCAAAAATAACCTTAACTGACAGGAAAAAGGCTCTTTCTCAGGTCTTGGACTTTATACAAGAAAAATGGCATGTCAATGATGGGGGGGGGGGGTGCCTAGATTGAAATTGAATATTTCTTAACCTTTTGTATTCAATTGATGTCCCTGGGACACTAACCAGTTCTACCTAGTGAGTCCTACCTATGGAGTATAGCACTATAAAGCAGGGGGAATATGAAATTTGTCACCGGAAAAGATTCTCTCTCTTCGTGAATGACTTCTGAGATTTAAAAATGCCTCTTCATATGCGGTCGAAGGCGTATACAGACAAACGTGAGCAGTACAACTGATGCCAAAGTTATACCGAGCATTTTCAGAGCAAAGTAAGACGGGTCGTTATCAGGTCGGGGGCGTGAAGGGCCGTTCACAAGTGGCATCGTATGCTACAGAAATAAAGCAAGAGAGATGACATTGATAGAGTAAACAAGATATCAGACACCACATGACTGTACTGTATTTGATCTTATCTATAATAAAAAGGTTTTATCTAGAATAAAAAGGTGAAATTATTTCCTTGACATTATGTAGAATGAAAAGCAAGATTTTAAGCATGTTATTTATTCATTATTAAGAAGCAAATCTGAACTCCCCTAACGTAGCAGGGAACAAACACGTACATTACAGCTGCACGATGTGCAATATTAATATCAATGTTGCATGTTATGCACATGCAATTGTCACATCGCAGGGACCACGATAGTCAGCATGGTTGATACCATCAATAACTTACATTAAAACATTTTTACTCTGTCATGGGAAACAAAGCTTAGCAAGCTTTGCAATTTTAATGATTTAAAAGATTATCTGGTATTCGTTTTGCTGTTGAGCTCACTCATAGTGTGGCTCATCTGTGAGAAATCTTACAAAAATGAGCAAGGAGGAGAAAAGCAAATATGAACTAGTAATCAAAAGACATAAGTCGTCTGCAGTTGAGAATATACTTTAGATTCCATAAAGATGAAATTGAGCATGGCTTTATGTCAGCACAACAGTAACGTCACCAACTTATTTAACACACTGTTTTATGAATATAGCGATACTTATCACAAAATATTTCAAATATTGCAGTGTGAATTTTTTCCAATATTGTGCAGCCTTAACGCACATATTCACATACACAGAAATAAACACCAATTCACCAATTGAGAAAGAAACCTGAATACTTGGGAACACACACAAAAGGAACACAGGAAAACATGCAAATTTCACACACAAGCACTGGACGTGGGATATGAACCCCAAAACCCTGGAAACAACGATGGCAACAGCACTACCCACCGTGCCCCATAGCACCTTTAGAAACAAACATGATTTTTTTTCCCAGGTTTTGTCTAGAGCTGCACAATATCACATGCAATATGTGAAATTCACATGACTAACACTACAATATTTGTAAAACAAAAAAAGGAGATGAAATTACCCTAAATAAAGCTGTCAACAGACACAAAGCGGTGCCAACAACTGTGATTTAATTATTATACATGCGCACGATATATCATGCAGCCCTAAGTTTGCCCACTTATTATAGGTAGTTAGGAAGAATGAGATCAGGCATTGGCTCCTTCCTTCCATGTGACCACAGTAGGAGATGCATCAAAAAATTATGCACTTGTCTGGATAGTATGGGTTTGTAAATAGTATATCAAGAATAATGCCAGAGTTACTTTGTAATTTATTAAAGCCAGTGCCAATCTCAAACAATGTGGCTTCTATTTTGGATTTCTTGAGCAATATTCTCATATTTGTTAAAATACAAAAATTAAGTGATAGAAATAACTTTCAGAAGCATTGCTGACTGCTGTACTGACCTGAAAAAGTAATATACTAAATTATGGCAACTATAAATCTAATCCACATTAAAAATATCTATGAAATATTTTTGTTTGCAATGGATATTCAGACACTGGAGTAACAATTCATTATGCATATGTGTGACATATTATATATATCAAAATTATTCTCAAGTGCCACGAATGGCATTTTGCAAATGAACGAGGCAAATCATCCTCATCCTCATAAAGCTGGAAAAAATGATGATTAGAAAGGTAACATGCATGTTTGAAACGCCTGTGAAAGACCCACTACCGCCTCCCACAGTATATTAAAGGTGTCCCCTATAACATACCAGGGCAAAGCTTTTACTCAAATGATATTTTGTATCGAAATGTTTGTTTTACATTACCATGGCAACCAAAATTACTTCAAACTAAATTATAAACCCTCGTTAAATCCTTCATAAGTAGAGCTTCCAAAAGTTTCATGGTGAAACTTATTTGAAATACCAAATTATGCTCTCACCCTCTGTTGTACACGTAGCTGTACATTTTCCCCTGCTGATCGGAAAAGCTCCACAGCCGCACTGTGCAATAGGTTGTCCAATTTGTGTCCATTAATCTGGGGGAAAAAAAAGCGTGTGTATACATAGACACGTGTACAAACACACACACACACGTGCGCAAAACATAAATTATATTCATACTGCATGTACGTGGAACATAACTTAATATTTAGAGTATATTTGAAAAGGGGTTTAACTGACTTGGGTTAGACATCAGGTTCCTGAAGTCTTCTTAACACTATGCCGTTCGTAAGTTCTGTGTTAAAAGACAGAACTTACGAACAACGTAGCGTTAAGAAGGCTTTGGGAAACTCACCCCAGAACTACCAAAATACATATTTAACATGACAAAAATGAATACCATGCTGCAAGATAGGTCCTCCTGACTGATGCACATGTTCAAGCATGACTGGATGGTGATTGCTTAATTAACCCGGCCTTTCTATAAGCACCTGCCTTCAAGATACTTCGTATCGCTGAGAAATTGGTGTTTCCTTTATAATGGCAACTGCCTCTTAATGTATTATTTAAGTATAATAACAAGCTATGACTCAAAGTTTAATAAAAAAAAATAGATAGCATTTTACCAGCTGGATACCAGCATTCCAGGATCAATACTGCCTACCCCCAAGTTACATCATGATGATCATCAAATTACCTACATAAAAACAACGCACCATAACGCCAGTGTTACTTACTGCCAAGATTTTGTCGCCTTCTTGTAATCTGCCGTCCAGTGCGGCTGCACCATTGTCTTTAATTTTGGCCACGTAGATTCCACAGTCATTTGACACAAATTGCTGGTCCACACCTCCTACAATGTTGAACCCTAGTCCTGAGAACAGTACAAAAGGAGGCAAATGTCCAAACAAAACGAATTAAACAATAGATATCAATATTTGTGCAGAGTAGCTAAATAAACAGTCCAGTGTTCAAACTTCAATCTTGCAAATCGTCCTATATTTTTTTACAAAACTGACAGGTATCAGCAAACCTTAAATACTTCAGGAAGAACCACAACTTTGGTGGCCCTTTGAATTTCTACAAAGAGGCAGAATAATGATAAAGACGAGAACAATTAAAGCTATTTGTTTATAAACCATTTGAAGTTCGGGGGAAAAATAACATTCGATGCAAAAGAATTTCACAATTAAATCACATGTAATGTGTTCCACTTTTCATCGATCATTTAAACCACTTAACAGTGATACATACATGTATAACCTGATAAAGGACTGCTATTTGTTTGGCTTGTATGTTTTGGATATCAAACTTGCTGGAGATAAAAAAATATACATATATATTATTTTTTTTTTTTAGATTTTCCACTATTCCTGTATTGTCCTGTAAAAACTGCTTTTGGGCCACGTAGGTGTCTAAAGTACAATAACGACTAACTAGAAGATCGAACCATGTTATGCAAATATCACACTTACTTAAATATAAACACAACTCTGTTGATTCGAGTGCACAATGAAACCTTAAGAATAACGAAAGTAAACTGCAGTGGCAAAAACGTTCGGGCATGCGAACGTCCTTCAAAAACGGGCCAAAAATTATATCACAGTAACAATGTCCACATTGATAAGGCATTGAATCGTAAGGGAAAGAATTAATGCATAATATACCATTCAAGTATTCAAGTTATCAATAAATTACGGCAGTATGTATTAGCTAAAATGGGACCGTTTCCATTGTTTAAAATAACTTTCACTTTCAAAACAAGCTAAACCCAAGAGGTTTAACGAACAGCAAACGTAAATATGTGCCAACATTACACTTTACACAGGCGAATAATTCTCCTGAAAATAATATTAAATATTAAAGTTTTTTGCAAGCATTACAAGCATTTTAGAAGCAATTACTGATAACAGTTTTAACTGAGCCAAGCAAGGCCAAAGCCTGCGTACAATAGCATACTCACTTGGGAATATCTGAGCATATCAAGTTGCGCGATTCATAACCATAAGCTTTGCATTTGTTAACTACAATGCAAAAGTAATTATCTATTTCCATTCCAAGTTACCAAATAAAACGAATACATGCATTCTTGGCATTGGAGACGTATTAATCTATGTCTGTCTCATTAGAAGTGAAATTATTTCGTCTTTTACTTAATTATGCTACTGCCTTTTGACTTAAATTCCTTAACCAAAAGTTGAGATTTGCTAGAGCCGCCGTCGGCCTGGTTAAGGAGCGAGCAGCACGTTCGGGAGCCCCGATAATCATAATGCGCATGGCGTAGTCGCGACCGAAATATCTCACCAGCTGGTCCTCTTTTCAGCTGAATATCCACCACGCCAGAGTCGTGCATAGCACCGTTCATAATGTGAATGTTAAATTAAGCAGATTTTGGCTAACTGAGTGTACTCAAACAGGGTTTTTAACCAGCATAACTCAAGCAAATAGTTACTGGGAAATGTTGACGTTTATCGGCCCCCTGTTGGACGGGATATGAAGTACACTTCCTGTATTTTGTGCAAATACCTCCCCCAGCAAACGCAAGCTCGGGAAGTTCCGACCGGAGGTCTAAATATAATATTTATTCATGTTTTCAAGTACAAAAATAATGATAATTACATATTTACGGCAGGGTAAATTGTAATGAGAAGAGAACACCTTGAGAAATGAGATTGCACGCAAACTTGCTATTTGCAAACCAAGGAATATAAGTATTCCTAAAAATAGCTGAATTTGTTTTTCTCTTTCTGTACTATTTCATACTCATTTAAATCATTTAAGGACCACTGAATATTCTGAAAATTGTGTAACAGGAAGTAAACACGAGACTTTATACTAGGCAACGTCATATATAACATCTGATACATAAAGTACGTGGCACCTATAAGGTGACAAAAGACTGCATTGGATAATCCTGATGGGAACATGAGAAGGAACGGAAGAGATAATTAAAATAATACACTATGCTCATCAACTTGAAGTTTGGTATAAACTCTAGATGTGCTCCAGGAACGGGTGATACGTTATGGATACTATATACATACCCTGTCAGTGTACGTAGCTGTGAGGGAGGAGAGAATTGTACAGGAACTGTATGGGCAATCGTGATTGTGAAAAACAGGAATATGCCTTATGATATTTATAATATTAAAATCAGGATTAAACTTTAGGATAATATAATTCTGGCACTGCCTTATTTTACAAATTTGTTTAGCATTTCATATTCCATGTCCAGACTGCAAAACTAACCCTTTTTTCTTCGTATTTATACAAAGTTTAATATCTAAACGTGACCTGATCGACAAACTATAGCATTGAAATACACCCAACAGACGCTTTGTATAAACCGTAGCAAAAGTGAAGCATACACAAGTATACAGCTGTCAAGGGGCCAAAGTTTCACCGTCTTTATATGGTTCCACAAATAAACTTTCCTGAATTAGTTTTCAGTTTCTTTTAAACAACACACGTTTCTATTGGCATTTAGGGACGTCCATTTTGACTGCGCAGAAAAGCCGACCTTTTATTACCATCCAACTGGTAGCCTATCTCTATACAAGAAACTCCACGAAGCGCTAGGGCTGTACAGAACGTTGAAACGATATGTTAAATAAAGTACACATTTTGTCTTTACAGTTTTCTGATCAACCAAGGGCTGAACTAACCTCCCATACACTCGATCTCTTTCTGCAGACTTACAACGTATGTTTTTTAGCTTGAGATTTTGTATTGGTAAATATATTTTGCCATCGAGACATAGGGAGTAGTTTATAGAGACTGACCCTGACTTCCCGACGCACCAGTACTGCGCATTGAGCAACCATCCAGTCTATCTAGAAACTTATTATATAGATGCAATGGAACACATTGCTCCTATGTTCATTATTTTTTCAAATTATATTTTACACTAGAGTAAAATATTATATGCAGTACGGTGAGTTGCTGGGCAGCAATTTCGTTTCACACTACCAGGGTCTATTTGTGGCGTTTGTAAGCGCGGCCATGGTAATTCCCTGCCCTGTGCCATAAAGTGCCTGGGATGGGCTGCAGGCATCGATCACACCTGCAAATCCACATACCGACGTAATCAAGAGAAGGGTGACGCGCTTATTGCCTATGCAGCTCGGATACTTAAGTATCGATGCAACGGCGCGTTTAGCTAGCAGTCCCGGCAGATCGCTCGGCGTCCTCGTTATCGGGCGTCATTTCAAAGGAGGAGAAGCGTAAAGGAGGAGGGTGGGAATAATAGTGAGCGACTAAAGTCAGAAGGCGCTGTGTGTTTCCTTAGTGAAAGAAGCACTTCCTGTGTCTAACACTATTTTATTTTTTTAATTATTTCCACTCTCAGTATTTAGAAACGAAAGTATCTTGCTACGGTAAGTTACAGTGTAACCATGACGTATCCTATAACTATCGCTTCGGGAGGAAATTAACGTGACAGCGTGCGAATGTATTAATTTATAGGAACGAGGAAGTAGCTATAGCTAAAACATTATCTGGCGTCTTGCAGCTCATAACTAATGGAGTACAGCATAATTCGTGCTTTACAGTACTACGTCTTATGTTACATAACTGCCGAACAGTAGCAAAATTTCTCTATGAAGCGATGTGGATATGTGGAATGTCGAATATGAGTCCCTCGATTAAGACCTGCTATATTTAAGTTGGTATATAAACGTAGAGTCTTATTTCTCGGTATAACTTTTCTTTTTTCCATTTCAGGACATGGATGACTTCTCGGTGAGTATTTAAAGAGTTCGACGTTTACGATTTAAGTTAAATTATGTTTTCGTGTTAATGGTTCAGTGTAAATGATTTCATTATGTTAAACAGGCGCAGTATTTGAGGCGTTAGTTTTATAATTTTGAATACGTTTTTAAAAAGCTGTTTGGTTACAACTATTTTAATTACAGTAATATATTTTGGGATGAACATGTCTCCGTGGTAATTTATAACCCATGCTTTTTCCAATGAATAACCTGTGCTAATCACTACTGTATCCAGCTGTCTGATGCCATTGATGATGATGCTTCTGGGCAAACATCAAAAATGGGCAAATCGCAGATGCCAGGCAGCACAAACCGTCAAACGGAAAATCTTGGCTGGCCTAAAGCTGCCCCCGGAGCCCCGCATTTTGTCACTCCTGGTGCACCACAGCCTTCAGCTCCATCTTTTCCAGGGGCTGCGGGTCAGTATCCTTCTGTACCAACCAGTTCTGGACACTATCACCCAGGTTCTGGAGTCCCAGGGCAGTATCCTGGAACACCTTCAATGGCTGCAGGATATCCTGGTTCCCAAAATTCTCATGGGCCTGGAGCCCCTGCACAGCTGCCTTTTTATCATAATCCATACCCAGCTGGAGGTAATGCCCCTGGGCAGTTTCCAGGAGGATCTGCTCAACCATACCTACCTGGAATTGCTGGATCATTCCCTTCGGGCCCTGGAGTTGCTCCGGGGCATTTTCCCAGCCCCCCGTATCCCAGTGGGCAGTCAGCAGGAGCGTATGTACCTGGGCGTCCTGGATCCTTCCCAGCAGTAACCGAATCGAGTGCTTTCCCTCACTTCCCGGGTTCGGGCTACCCCCCCATGCCTGCTGGGACCTGGGGCATGCCTGGGCCCTTCCCGACCCAGCCTGGGTACTCTGGGTACAACCCAGACCCTATGGGAAGGTACCCGAATCCTTCATTTGGGGGACAGCCTGCTCCTGGAGGAATGCCGGTGAGTGTCCTTCATATCTGTAATATCCAAACTTCTCCATATGCCAATTCAGTTTGAAAAGTAATAGACTAATCTTTTTGCTGCTTTAGCGATGTTAGTGTTTGATTTTACCACATGCATTTTGTCACTCGCACTTGGTGGAAGTTATAAGGATGTTGTCAGCTTTGAATGCCGGTTTTCTCAAGCAATTTCTGTATTGAGCACTGAAGCCAGAAACCATAATAGACCCACATGTATTCTTTTCTTTCAGCCTAGACATAACCCGCCATACTTTTGAATGCATTGATTTTCTTCAGCTCTGTTTTGGATGAAGACGTCACTGCTTGTCTGTCTTGCTATGTTAGTCATTGCAGGTTAACTTATGAGTAAATTAGACACGCTGATGGGTGGGGAAGACTGACTACACCTGTTCATATTTAGTTAAAATCTTAGCATTTGTATTTAAAAAATTTATACCATGTGCCAAATTTATTTTTGGATGTTTATTTTAGCTTGACACTTGTATTCACGTAAATAGCAAGTAATGATTTTAGATATCCATTTACAACTTTTTACTTTTTTTTTTTTTTCGGGGGGGGCAAATTTTGAAGGCAGTTGGTATTTTAAATGTTCTTATTAGTAGGACTGTGTTTTGCTTTACTATTGATGATAAACATTGTGATTGTTTTTTTTTGATGGGTATATTTATGCTAAAATGCTGGAGTTGACCTGTAAAAATTGAAATGCCATGATATTATTAAATATGATTTATTTGACATTCTGAAGTGTGGTGTTGCTTGGAATGAGAATTAGCTTTGACTCTTAGCCATGTGGCTCATTAATATGCATATAAGGAACCTAGAGTGGCTTTATGGACTCAAGACCTAAAAACCAAGGTAGGAAAAGCTGTAGCATTTCAAATTACCGATTTACTGTTGCCATCTGTCAATATCAGTGCCAGTTTACATACTTGGCTGTTTTGCTCTGTAATATGTGATTAAGCAAAGACTTTGTTTTGTAGTATAATCTTCTTACCAAAGAAACAAAATAACATTCCGTGAAGGGTGAGGTGCAATGGATTGCTCTATGACCTCACATGTGTTCCATGTCTGTTTGCGTGGTGCTTACATGTCCTTCCAGTGTTCACTTCTGGATCCTCTGGGTTTTCTTCCCTAGTCATATTTTTTTTTTTTTATAGTTTAAGTGTGTGTGTCTTCCCTGAAGAATTAACATACACTCCAGGGTTTTGTGTGAAGGAAGTTTCATAATGTTGATCAGACAACTTAGCTTCATTTGTAATTAACAGCGATTTTTATATACAGTTATAATTCTTAATTTTGTTTTGTGCAGTTTAAAATTCAGAATCGAAAAACCGTTCTTCAGGAATGGTTTTTTGAGACTTCAAGTCAGGTGATAGTTGCAGTGATCATCGTTGTAAATGTTTATGTTCAGGTGTTATTTCTCATTTCAATCTGCCCTTCAGGAAGTGCCATTTCATTTGCCTCTACATGCTGGGTTGATGCCAGGGGTTATGATCACAATAGTAGGAGAGCCTATGTTAAATGCAAAGAGGTACTCAATTCACCCTTCCCTCCATACTTGCATGATGAATAAGTGAATGTCCTCAATCAGTAACAATAATGGCATATCTTAATATTAAGCCATGTGCGCATGTCGTATCGCTAGTAATTACATTTGCTGTGCCTCAACACGTTAGGTCACTATGCTCAAGCCTATAAGGCTGTGGGTTCAAATACCATGGTCTGCAAAGTAACCAATATCAATATTGAGTCCTTGAGCTTGGCTCTTAAAACCTCATCCATGGATGCCAGTTGACTCTCTTCTCTATCACCAAGCTTTACACAAGCATGTGACTTTGGGGGGGGAAAAACAAAAAAAAAAAAAAAAAAACATCCCAGTTTATTACTGACTCTTGCCCTGCAATGTACTGAAGGCTCGTCCAGAGCATTTCCCTGCCTTGTGATCATTGCTTTTTGTATGGATAGGCCGCAGTGTTTCCCAAGCCGGTGCTCGGGGACCCACAGTCCGCACATGTTTTTGCTCCCTGCTAGACAGTCCACATTTTTGGGAGCTGGGAGGGAGCAAAAACATGGACTGTCTGGGTTCCTGAGGACTGGATTGGGGAATACTGCTTTACTGGATTAAGGCATGGAAACTAGATGAATATATGGATGGAATGTTAAACGGCATCCAGTTCGGTGGAGAAAAAGCTAGGCCCGGATCAGGCGTTCGCATAGTTCCAATTTGCCACCAGTAATAAGACTTCTGATCTAATGTGATTATCTCATCTGGAGTCTTGGCAAAAGCACACAATGGTAACAAAAATGATTTTATGTCTTAAGATTTTAGAAACAATTCATGTTTGATACAGGTTTCTTCTCTAAGAAATGTCTTGTCTTTTCAGATTCCACGTTGACTTTGTGAAAGAGGCAGATGTAGCTTTTCATTTTAACCCTCGATTTAATGAACGGATCATTGTCCGTAATACAAATGTAGGTGGAGAGTGGGGACCAGAGGAGCGGGAAGGGCTGTTTCCCTTTGACGAGGGAAGACGCTTTGAGGTACGCTATATCCCTTTTACTGTTGTAGTTTTTTTTTTTTTTTTTTTGTAAAGATCGATTTAAATGTACATACAGACGCTCCTCTACTTACAAACTTTCAAACATATGAACAAAGAGGGCCGTAAGTCCAAATTGTGTTTGTTGGGCTCCCATTTCCTGTCTGCAACATCAATTTTTTTTTTCTGTGCGTCAATTCCGCCTAGTAAGACTTCTGGCCGCTACTCTCGCCAGCATCCTAGTTATTTGTACTTGCGTATACCCTTAAAATGACATTTAATAACGACTTACGAGCTTTTTAAGTTACGAACAGTCGTTCGGAACGTATCTCGTCCGTAAGTAGAGGAGCGTCTAATGTATTTATATCAATAATATATATTTATTATCAAATTTATTCTTTAACAGGCTTCTCCAGTTTAGTATCTAAACTCCCAAATATACATCACGCTACTCTTAGATTCTGTGTTTACTGTAATTTTGGGTAATTTCTAATGTTCTTAACCTTTAAATATATAAGGCTTACGCAGCTTGTTTTGCCAAATATACTGTTTTATTTGAAATGTGTGGATAAAATCATTCTTGTTTTCCACAGCTTAAGATCTTGGTTGAGGAAGATATGTTTAAGGTAGCAGTGGATGGGTCTCACTTGCTGGAGTATGAGCACCGGGTTGGAGGGCTTGAGGAAGTAACCCTCTTGCGTATTGAAGGTGATGTCATTCTCCACAGTGTGGCCCCCTGTATGATCTAGTTCTCCATCACCTGAGCCCACCCTCCCCCACATATCAGGATGCATTAATTGGAGAGAATATCTGCAGCAGCCTAAATTAATTGTGTACTATGTAATGTGGTCCTCAAATCCACGTAACTGGATTAATAAGATGAGGTAATGAATGTGCTTATAAATGATGAAAAGGTAAGGCAAGTAAACTGCATTTCTGTTCTACTGCATTACCAGCATTTAAGTATTATCCTATTACTTTGCACATATTTGTATGCATTTTTAAGCATGCAATTGATAATTGTGTGGTTTATGTAATCATATCCAACATATTTATTTACATATCCTACAATGCAAAAGCAATTCACCTCCCTTCACAAAATATTTCACATTATATACTTCTCTCAGCGTAACTTATGTTTTTGCAGGTAAATATGATTTCAGTTCTTAGTTTTGAAATGTATCACCTACAGTACAAGGGATACAAACAATTTAAAATGTATTGATAAATCAGGTATAGCAGAATAACCTACTGTAGTGTCTTGATGGATTTCAATTGGGGAAAACACGTTTTGCATTAGGGCAGCATGTGGTGTCATTGTAATAAGTAATTGAGAGTTTAACTCCCAGGAGAGGCTATGTTGTGTAGCTTTCTCAGAGGAGCCAGAATTGATTTAAGCTGTCCAGTTAAGGCTCTTTAATGCCACCTAGTGGGTGAAACTGGACAAATAGCAGTTGCCTCTGCTGCCCGAATGTGTGAAGCTGGTTCAGCAACATTTTACACAGAAATCAGAATAAAAGCATTCACAATAAATTAAAAACAGTGTTAGTTTTTGAGTGCAATCATGTCCAGATTGAGTGTGAAGGAGTAGATATAAGAATATAGTAGAAAGCTTAACCATTCTATAATAGGTGCTTTGTTCAGTTCATTTGCCAATTGAATGAAATTCTATTTTTCAGTATAATAGGGAGTGCAGTAGTAGCATGTAAAATATTGTGAATAATTGAGTATGGAATTGACATGAATGTTATGTTTTATGCAGGATTTGCAATAGATGTTTAAACTTGTATATTTTAATCACCATGTATTAAAGCATCTGGGCATGTTGCTAAACAAGTTTAAACTACAGTTTGATTATAAAATACAGTACAACCAAATCTAATAGACTCGTAGTCTTTTTTTTTTTCTACTGAGTCAATACAATCATTCTGCTAGTTCCAAAAATTAAAGCCATCTTTGCCCAACAAATTTAACACAAGACAGTATCCATGGTATATGTTATTGTACTGGGATAAATATGATGCTGTGTATTAAATGTAAATACTATAATTACCCATTCAGTTACCATAACTGTTTATCAGTACACCAAGGTGAACAGCATGCCAGTCCCATCACAAGGCGTACACACACATTAGGGATGTCATTCCACCTAACCACAAGATTGCTAGGGGAACCTGGAATCTCAAGAGGAAGCTTACTCAACTTGGATAAAATATGCTAACGTTAGGTGCTGTGGACCAAAAAAAAAAACATATCTCAGAATGGGGATACACAAATATCTCAGCATTTTCTGGGAAGTGGCCTAAATGTTCAGTTTTAAGTCAAAGCCACATCTGACATGCCAAAAATGCTTATTAAAACTGCGGTCAAAACAAAGTTCAAATATGTATTTCCTTCCCTGTTCACAAATATGCAGGTATAACTATTCTGTAAACATGTTTTCTTTATTCCAAACAAGTCTCAAAATAAATCTTAAAAAAAATCATGCCTATATCCAGAGGTGTAAATTAAGTTCAAGTCCAGAAAGTACAAATCCAGACTAAGGTTTTGTTTCAACCAACCAGTTGAGCATAAAGAGTCATAGTCACTCAACTGGTTGGTTGAAACAAAACCTTAGTCTGGATTTGTACTTTCTGGACCTGTACTTTACACCTCTGTCTGTAACTGTTGCCTGGGTCAAAATAAGGCATCGACGACATAAAACCGTTTCACTTCACTATGCCTATCTACACACTTTTATTCTTTCGTTTACGACATACCTCTCAATACAGGCGATGAATGCTTAGGGACAAAAAAGTTATCTAAATCGGAAATATGTTTGGCGTATGGCTCTAAAAACAGAAGCCTGACAACCACTGAAAGAGCCCTTAACTGGAAAGATCCACATTTTAATTTGAATTTGGTGATCAGTGGTTGTAAGATATTAGCCTTCAATAAAATAAATATTAAAAATAGCGATATTTTAACCTCAGTGTCGTCTGGCAATTTTAAAAACAAGAACAAACTAACGACACCCCCCGGCTTCCCCCTCCAACTTCCACATGAGGCGCTAACTGAATGTTTTGATTAGAGCTGTGAATTCCGGGGTCCTGTGTGACGTCACGACCGAAACTCTCGCGTTGTTTGCCATCGCTACGCTCCGCCTCCGGCCGCTTTCTTGGTGTGTTGTCATAGTAATGGAGTACTGCGGGCATGTGAATCAGCTGCCAGCTGATGCAAGCAAAAGGTATAAAGAGTAATATTAACGATACAGTGCCGTGCTTGTTTTCGTAGTTATTACAACAAAACTAGTCGGATCGCACAAAGGTAAATTGCTGATCGATTGTGTTGTAACTCACTAGGTCAAACACTCCCATTGGCTGCACAGAAATCTCCAATCAGTGGATTCTTCCACACATGAAAAAAACATACCCTTCCTACAAATTTATGACCTGCCAGCTGCAAACAAGAGAAGATGACAGTATAACACTGAGAATGACTCACACAGGCCACCTGAAGCGATATTGCAACCGCCTTCCTCTGTTGCACAGCATAACTTTTTGTGAAAGTTCGTTGAATCGGGGTGCCATTCTGCAGTCTTGTCAGTGCTGGAAGGCTTCAAGAAACTCTTTTTCCCACAGACCCTGCCGACACCCACTGACTAAACTTTATGATCCAGTTGTGACTAAACATAACAAGGATCAGCTCCTGCAGAAGTGCGAGCAGATGAGCCCAACACTTACATCTGAGGACTGTCCAAGACTGGAAGACATATGTCAGCTGTGGTAATAACAAAAGCAGATGATGATCCATCTAGTCATTTGGTGACAGCCAGTTGCTATCCTAAGTCGTGGGGCTTTGTTGTGCCAACCATATTCAATACACTGCCCACTGTGACGTAATAAAACGTTAGCCATACTTTGGTTGTACATATACACATAAAGTGCAGAGGGAAATGAACATGTTGACGACATTGTCACACAATGTAAAAGTAAACAGTGATGGAATGTTTCAAGTTAACTCACAAAGTGATAGTGGAGGCATTAGGTCATATACATAAATTTGACATATCTTCCCTTAAATATAGTGTCATCTTTAACTTAATTTACAGTTGAAATGTTTAATACTGTTTTACAGATACAGCAGCAAGATGAAAATGGTGGCAACACAAGAGTACCAAAGGCCCCTGAATGATGTTTGTCTATTTAAAATGTGTGCTATTATAAATATACATCTGTCTAAATCAGTGGAGAAGGGTCTGGGCCATTTATGTCATTTCTTGACCCCCAGAGGAGGCTTAGGTTAGGTCTGCAGCCAGACCTTTTTGAATAAGAAAAATTCAATTCATAGTACAGGAAGATAGTAATAACCACACAGAACATTCATTGTGTTTTCATTGTAGTGTATAATGTGAATGCATCTCTTAATACAGCAGCATCAATGAAGAACCTTATGTGACTTGCAGCATGCATTCACCACAATACTAGAACAGGACAATTATCACAATTAAAATATTTTTTCTTTATAAAATTTAGCATAACTTCCACACTTTAAAATGCAATATCATAACACAGATTGTCTTTTGTCAATTGTTAAGTGTCTAATACTAAAGCTGAAGCACTTCATTGTACGGAGCATTACATATACAAATGTGGGGGGGGGGGGTGCACTGTGGCAGTGGGATTCCACTGCACTAATGCGGGTGGCTGTGCTTATTTAGAGGAGATACTGCTTCAGGAAAGAAGCTGTTGATCAGTCTACATGTCCTGGTCTTCAGGGCCAGAAGGTGGGGTTAGAAGAGGTGATGACCAGGGTGACGAATATCCAACATCATCATGAAAGCACATTTTAGGACTCTGCTGTTGTAAATGTCCTGTAGGGAGTGCAGATTGCAGCTGATGGTTTTTTTTTTGCAGTCCCTAATAAGCTTTTCAGTCTCGCTTTTTCAAGTGTGATGGAACCAAATTTATGGAGGAAGTCAGCAAGGATTCAATTATTGTAGTATAAAATTTAATCTGTAAAATATGAAGGTTGCTGAATTTCTTCAGCTGTCGTAGAAAGTAAAGTCTCTGTTGTGCTTTTTTGATTATAGAGTTCATATTACGTTCCCATTTCGGGATTCTGGATGTAGTGGTACCCACAAACTTCAGTATCTCCACAGTGGAGACCATAAAGCCATTGATGCTGAGGAGGAGTGGAAGATGGAGGTGCCTTCAGAAATCCAGGACCATCTCTACAGTCTACTGGGTGTTGAGCACCAGATGATTTTGACTGCGCCAAGACACTAATTGCATAACTTGGTTTCTGAAGCCAGATCAATCACCATTAGATATAGGATGGACCATAGCATCGTCATTGGCAAGCTTCAAGATTTTTACTAAAAGGTCATTGGAGGTGCAGTTGTTGATATAGACTGAAGAGAAGGCATGACATGACTTGGGAAGCACCAGTACTGAGGTGTCATATATATATATATATATATATATATATATATATATATATATATATATATATATATATATA